AACGGCCTCGAAGGAGAGAGAATGAAGAATGTAAGGAAAGGCGTGTTTTACTTCTTATTACGTTTTTTCAGACTTTGCATTCAGATCAAATTCATCCTCCAAGTTTTGATCAGATGAATATGGTCCTCCAGTTTCAATTTTATCTACCACTAACGTAATGTTAGCAGTAATAAGGACTCCTTATTTGACTAACTGAACCAGAAAAACATGCCACTACTAACAAACTTTGAATCAGTCTTCAACACTCTCCCTTGATTCAAAGTTGCAAACACCAAGCAAAAATCTAAAGTAGATAAACTTCTCTTTTGACAAAGCATTGGTAAGCACATCAACCAACTACTCATTTGTTCTACAATATTTCAAAGTAATTTCTTCCTTCGCAACTAAATCACGATTGAAATGGAAACGAATGTCGATATGCTTTGTTCTGCTGTGAAAGGCTGGATTCTTTGTCATTGAAAATGTTGTTTTATCGTCACAGAATATCTCTGTTACTCCTTCTTGCTTTTGTTGAAGTTCAGCTAACATTCTTCTGAACCAAATGGCTTGACAAGCTACTGAAGTGGCTGCAACATACTCTGCTTCTGAGGATGACAATTTTGCTGTGGCTTGCTTCTTTGAGCTCCAAGTGATTACTTCTGATCCAAGAGTAAAAACATTTGCTGAATCACTTCACCTATCATCCAACGAACTTGCTCAATCACTGTCCATGAACCCACGTAATTTGAAATTGGAGACCTTTGAGTACTAAATTCCATAATACATAGTTCCAGCAATGTAACGCAAGACCCTCTTTGCTACTAAAAAATGAAGTTTTGAAGGATGTTGCATGAACCTGGAAATCACACCAATAGAAAATGCAATATTGGGTCGAGTGTGGGTTAGATAAATTAAGCCTCCAACTAAACTTCTGAACCTTTTAGCATTAGCCATCTCTGCTCCATCTTTTTGCTGCAATTTATCATTAATATTCATAGGTGTAGCTGCATATTTACAATTAAGCATGCCAAATTTCTTAAGAAGATCCTTGGCATATTTTCTTTGGGAAACAAAAATCCCATCTTCTGCTTGTTGAACTTCTAGGCCAAGAAAATAATGCAGCAAACCCATATCTGACATTTCAAACTCATCCAACGTACGTGATTTAAACTTAGCCACAAGAATGCTAGAGGAGCTTGTATAAATGATATAATCAACATAAAGACAAACAATGATGAAATCAATTTTACCTTCTTTCTCCACGTAGAGAGTGGGCTCATTATCACTCTGCAAGAACCCATTTTGCTTAAAGTATCCATCAATTTTACTGTACCATACCCGAGGAGCCTACTTCAATCCATACAATGCCTTTCTCAACTTGTACACCTTTGTCTCTTTGCCTTCAATTATGAAACCTTCTGGTTGAGTTACATAAAATTCCTCTTGCAAATCTCCATTTAAAAATGCCAACTTGACGTCAAATTGGGAAGCAGGCCATCGTAATTGTGCAACCAATGTCAAGACAATTCTTACAGTTTCAAAGCGAGTTACTGGAGAGAGAGTTTCTTCAAAGTTAATACCATATTGATGTGCATACCCTTTTGCCACAAGTCGAGCTTTGTGTTTCTGTATACTTCCATCAGCACAAAATTGTGTTCTGAATACCCACTTATGTCTCTAATTCATGAACCATCCTCCATGTTATGGCATAAGAGGTTGTGTCACATTTCAAAGGATAAGATAGAGAGATTGGTTAAAGTTGAGATATCTTCCTCTCTCTCTCGATTTCTCTGATTTTGGCGCTTGTGTGGATTGTATAAGAAGATAGTTAACTGAATCCACTAGGAAAGTTTCCACTATGAGTGATTTTAATGTAGGGTGTATTGTTGACCCTGTTACTTTTAATCAACCACTGACAAGTCCTGAGTCATATAAATTGATAAAATGGATGATGTAATAAATTCTGTGGAACATAATAAAGTTTGGGAACTTGTTGAATTTTCTCCGGATGTTAAAGTCATAGATAACAAATGGATTTTCAAAAGGAAATGTTAAGACGACTTTTCTGAATGGGGATCTTTTGGAGAATGTTTACATGAGACAACCTGAAGGTTTTGTTGTGATGGGAAAAGAAAACTTGGTATGCAAGTTAAATAAATCTTTATATGGCCTCAAGCAGTCATCACGGCAGTAGTATTTGAAGTTTGACAATATTGTGACTTCTCTTAATTTTGTTGAAAAATACAG